AGGATTGCGGCCCCTGCCCATCATCAGAGACTAGGAGAAGGAGGAGAGAGCCTGGCCGGTGTCGGGGACTCCTGGGCTTTCCTGGCTCTGCCGGCCGTCTCTGCTGCTCACTTCGTGAGGTCCATGTTTTTACTAACGTGGCCTGGGGTTGTTTCTTTCCTGGCCCTGCTTTGTGGGGCAGCACCTGACCACCATGATGTCCTTGCGTGTCCATGCTGCTATCTTGTTGGAATCAGGCCTTTGGCCTGGAGACGATCGTATTTACCGACAAGAACAGACGTGGACGCCTCAGCTGTTCATTACAGCATGCCTGATAGCGCTTCTGTAGCCATTCAGCTGCCGTATTTACTGAAAGGGGTAAAAATACTTTCCTGGGGGCCAGAATTGTGCTGGTTTGGGGAGCGTGGGAATTTCCTGCCTTTGCTGGGAACGACCGCTACAAGGAGCTCCCTGCCAGCCTTGGGACGCTGACCCCCCTGGCCTGAGTCGGGGGCCGTGATTCCCAAAGCCCTCCTGGGAATGGGTGTCCTGGTTCTCCAAAGCTGCAGCTGCACCGTGGGCCCCGTACAGGCCAGGGATTCTGGGGCCAGTCACGCACGCCTGTGCCATGCGCATCCCTGATCCCTTATGGCTCTCATTTCCCTGGGCATCTTCTCGGATTGTCCGCTGAGGTGCCCTACAGCATCTCAGGAAGATTTCCGTTCAAATGGTTGCAGTTCAAGATAGTTTTTGTTAGGAGTGCAAGTTTATTTTTTAAAGTTCCGTTACGTGGAACATCTCACACCCTGATGAGGTCAGAAAACGGGGCAGCTCTTTGGAGAGCAGAGTCCCCTGCCGGGACACATGGTGGCGGTGCCCGGCCTTCTCAGCCAGTGTGAGCATGTCTGTGTTGTGGTAGAGCTCCTCTGAAGGGCAGAGCCAGTGCTGTTGGAAGGAGGCATTCCTCAGCGTGCCAGGGCACGACACTGATTGTCCATGATGGGCCAGCCCTCTTTCCAGGCGCGTACTCGAATAATGAAGCAGGGCTATCTTAAAATTCGATGGTTCAGTGACTGTCTTTGACTGCACGTGCTTCAGGATTCCCGGGGATTCATTAGTCAGGGCATCTTCTGACAGCACAGACAGCTTATTACCTTTTAGCTTTTCCACTCTTGGTCTTGAGAATTGTGACGTAGCCAGACCCGGCAGCTCGGTACAGGACATTTCAGAGTTGCAACGGGTTAAAGCTGATCAGAGAATGCTTTCTGGTCAGCAAACAGTTATTCAGCCTCCACGGTGTTCAGGGCACTCAGAATAGAAATAGAAAAATCAGATTTTCCCTCTGCAGCCTTGACTCCCCCCCTCCTTCCAGAGTGTTGGTGGCACTCTTGGCCTACTTCTGCTCTAGCTGTCTGCCCAGTTTGTTTTCCATCTCCTTTCTGGCACCCAAGGCTGTCCCCAGTGAACGCTCAGCTGAGATTCTGTCAGCTCCCACGGCTTCCATTCCGATGCCTGCCAGATGGGTCTGTCTAGCCCTCTTCTTTCCTGTGCATATTTTGAGGCATTTCAGCCCCAACATGTCCAGAAGAGTGTCTTATCTTCTCCCCAGCCCTCTTCCTAAACTTCTTGCTCTTTCCGGTCCCCTGGGTTACTGGCTCTGAGCCTTTTCCCTCACCTCCAGGGTGTTTCTCCAGGTGCGTGGCCAGCACCCAGGAGCTCCTGGCTCTGCCTGTCACTCCTGGACTATTGCAGTACTCTCTTCATTGGTCTTTCCAACACCGGCCCTCCCTCTCCAGCCCATCGTCCGTTCGGTGGCCAAACGGATGTTTCTAAAGCGTGGAGCTTACCCAGTCACTTTTCACTCAAGGCCTCTTGCCTGGCCTCAAACTACTGCCCACTGCCTGGCTCCAGCCGAGCCGGACCACTTAGCTTTGACCCATAGTTTTCTGATCTGTAAAGACCTCACAGGACTGGGGCAAGGCCACCTGCCCTCGTGGCTTAGAGTAGACAGGGGCCACCACCGATTCTTAGGCCTGGCAGCGGCGGCACCACACGTTTTTCTTGGGAACGTTCCGTGGCAGCTGTGGAAACAAGGGGACTGATTAGGAAGGCATTGCTGTAGTCCCGAGGAAGAGGGCTGGGCCGTGAGAATGTAAAGAAAGGGACGGACGACAGTACGTGTTAGAGACAATCACTAAATCAGTCCAGCGGGTGTGTGTGCTGTGTGCCCAGTATGTGCAGAGAGATCCCGAAACAACACGTAAATTAGGCTCTTCCCTTAAGATGCTTGCATTCTGCTGGGGAAACAACGTGAAAAAACACGGACGGTAAATATGAGGTATTTTCAGGGATGGGAAGAAAGCGCTAGCGGCCGATGTGGTCAGGAGGGCTCCCCAGAGGAGGGGGTGCTTCCTGCCTTCGCTGAGCATTCCAGGTTTGGAGAAGAGGCTTTGCAAAGGCAGGAGATAAAATCCAACATATGAGGGACACTAAGAAAGAAAACGTAGACTGCCCCAGGTGGACTAGCGTGTGATCCCAGGGACAGAGAGACTTCAGTGCCCAGCACCAGAATGTGTGTTTTATCCTAGCAGCCTGCGGAGCGACCAGAGCTTCTTGCGGAAGTAAAAGACCGCACTGGTCAGACCTTCTGGTGCCAGGACAGAGACTTGACCCCTGGTTGAGTATCGGAGCTTCCAGAGAACAGTCCAGGCTCACTCGATGGCTGCAAATGTGGGCGTCTGGCAGTCCACCTGACAGAAAGAGGAAGTCTGGAGGGAGGCTGGACTTCAGGGAGACGCTCGTTCTCTTCTGAACATGCCAAGGGGATGCCCAGATGGAAACCTGCCTAGCAGATAGTGGAAGTCAGGCCTGGCGTTCAAGGGGGAGATGTGGGAAATGGGTATAAATATGATCATTGGACCCACAGAAGGAGGGTGAGGAAAGAAGGGGAGAGGGCCAGAGAGAAAGACTTGGTGGGTAAAGGGTGACAGATGGAGTGAGCAGGAGAACTGGGAGAGAAGGATGCCCGGAAAGCCAGAGAGGAGAGAGTGTGTGGGAAAAGGCCGAAAGCTGGAGAGGCTAAATAGAAAGGGGACAGGCTGGAGCCATCACATCATTATGAGGGGAAGGAGAAGGCAGCGGTCACGCACGCATTAAGCACCACTGGTGTGCCAGGCTGCTGTGCTGCTAAGTACACGCTGTACAGGTATCTCACGAGAGAGAACTCCGTCTGTGAGTTTATAGAAGGCTGGCCGTATCTTTGCGGAAGCCTCTGTTTCCTCATTTCTTCTATCTCTTTCGTCTTATTCCAGCACTTTTTCAGTCAAAGGACAGCCTCTAGTTTTCAAGGCGTTGCCCCCACAAAAAGAGTTACTCTGTGTGTTTTTGTGCAGAGAGCATCTTTTCCCCTTCTTTGATGCCTTTGGGCAGAGGTCCAGTGGTAAGGCAGCTCAGACCGAGGGCACCTGCTGCTTAATCATTTTTTGTGTATAATTCCACACTGTCTTCTGCAGAATGGTTGCACCCATTCAGCGGGCCACCAGTAGTACCCCAATGTGTCTGTTTTCCCATGGCTCCCCGAACACTTGTCTTCGCTTTTTTGCTAGGTGTAAATTGCATTTCTCTATCTAATTAGTAGCAATTTGGATCCTTTTTTTTGTATGGCTCCAGATTGGAAAAGACCAGTGTGCAGAGAACTCCCCAGAAGATGGAAATGAGGCCAGGGAACAAGGGGTGAATAGAAGAGCGTGGTGTGGGCCTCTGAAATAGGAGTCAGGAGTGTCAAGACTCAGAGCTGGGGCCGTCAAAGGCTGATAGAAAGAGGTGTGGGAAGTAGATTGGGAGACAAGGGGCCAGAGGAGGAGAGGCCCTCTGCCTGGGGTGGATGAGGTGGTGATAACTCAAACCAAGAAGAGGGCAGAGGCACCCCACTTCCTGGCTTGTTTTCTCCTCCAAGGAGAGTGGCCTTTTCAGTGAAAATGAAGAAACAGAAATGACCAGTAGGGAGTTTATACCCAGGAGAGGGAAAGCAGTCAGAGAGAACTCAACTTTTCCTTCGTGAATTGAAGTTAGCTGGCCCGCTCATACCGCCTTCTGTGTTACTGGGAGAAGTGACCAATGTGATGGATAAGCTGTTGCTGCCAGGACGGGTCGAATGCATAAGGGAAATAGGAGTGGGCCCACAGACTGGAGAAGGCAGACATCCTTGTGTTTAGAGGTCATGGACCCAAAGTAATGGTAAACATCACTTCATGGGGAACCTGGTCATCTCCTCTCGCAGTGCCTGCGAGTGTCTCAAAAGGCCACGATGAAAGTAACTCTAGCTTTTGAAGTAGTGTCTGCTGAGGGCCCTTCCCCCTCTCACAGGCTGTGACTCTGGACTTTGTTGTCGGGGATGCCAAAGCGGGGCATGGGAGGGCAGACGGCAACATGGGCTGGGAGGGGCAGGACAGGATTGTGGATTGGGCTGAGGACCAGCAGATGGTGAGGGAATTACCAATGAGGGCCTGATGGATTTGGGTGCCCTTTCTTATCTTTGGACATATACATTTCCATATTGATGAAAGAAAGGGTCTGCCAGGAAGAGGCCTATCTGCCTCTGGGCCACAGTGCTGGAGATGGGCGCAGTTGGTCATTGAATGCACTCACACATCTGCCTGCGAGATAAGTAGGTGCTCAGATGTCCACTGACACCAGCATCTTCTCAAGATGAGTCCAGCCTAGAGACAGGTGGACCCAGAAATGAATGTCCCCTAAAAAGAAAAGAGAAAGCTTAGTGTTGTTACAGGCCTCCACACGATCTCCTTCAGGGTCTGGGCATGTGCCAGTTTGCCACGTTAGTCCTGTTGGGACGAGGGAGGACCCACCAACTCTTTGACAGCCTTAATTCAGTAGTCTAGGCCCACCTCAGATCTTGATTTAGAATGACAGGGTCTGTTTCCTCACATAGTGCTTGTTGTAGGGTTCCCAATGGTCATGTTTCACCATTAACGGGTCCTTACTTTGATGTCTTTGTTTTCAAGGCTTACTGTGTAACCGAACCTGGAGCAGGCTCTGATGTGGCTGGTTTACAGACCAGAGCAGAGAAGAAAGGCAATGAGTATGTCATCAATGGTCAGAAGATGTGGATAACCAACGGAGGAAAAGCTAACTGGTGCGTTCATGGGAGGAGCTGCCGCCCTCGCTTCTCCCTTGGTTTATGGAAGCTCTCACGTCCTTGTCTCCTCTCTCCCTCCTCCCCTTGTCCCCTGGCCATCATTAACCTGAACCTGTCACAAATTCAAAGTGCAAGGAAGGTGACCCAGTCTACCACTGTGGCTTCGGCGAACTGACCAGCCCAAGGCAAAGAAGCCAAAAGGATTTGGTTTTTGTTTCTGTGAAAAGATATTTACACAGTCATCAAGCATTCATTAGATGCCTGGTAGGTTCTAGGTGCTCACAACTAGGCGCATGCGCGCGTGCGCACACACACATACACGCTCACACTCACACTACACAGAAGGAAAACAAAGCCATTCGATGCACGAATCCCACAAGGCATGAGCAGGCCTTGACGTCCGGTGTCACCTCGGGCATGGGGCTCCCTCTCTGCCATGGTCAAGTTGGCCTGGTTGGAACATCAGAGACTTTGTTTTCCCCTCTGCTGCTGCCCCAATCCTGACGAGTCCTTCGTGTCTTCTTGTAGGTATTTTCTTTTGGCTCGGACTGACTCTGATCCCAAGGCCCCTGCCAGCAAAGCCTTCACTGGATTTATTGTAGAGGCAGACACCCCAGGAATCCAGATCGGAAGAAAGGTAAAACGCAGATGCCACAAACGGTTTATTTTTAATTCAGAATAAATAAGGCATTTCACCATCATAGATTGTCTTAGGTTGAAATGAAGAGAAGTCTTGTATCAGCCCGTCTCCCAAAGGCATGGTCTCCAGCCCCGACACATGATGGTTGTACCCCCCGAGCATGTTCTGCTTCCCCAGCGCTTAGCTGGAGAGTTGGATAAAGCTGTGGTCTCCCCTACATGTGGGCCCTCCCTCTACCGGCCAGACCGTGGCCTCCACAAGCCTTCTGGCCTGCATCTTCCCACTAATCTTCCTTGGAGCATCTGCCGAGGGCGCTGGGGGCCCTCTCCTTATTGGTTAGTGGCCAGCCATTTCCCTTCCCATAGCTGCCTGAACTACCTTCCTCTCTCTCCCAGCGTATGTCCTCAGGTTGTCTTTCAGTGCCCAGAAAACCCGCCTGCCATGCTCACCTGACACTAGATGGTCCCTAGTTCTCAGTTGTGGCTAATAGAATTGGAGCGTCTAAGTAGAGAAGCGTTTTGTCCCCCGAAGCACTTTCAGGTTCTCGGAACAATCCAGCCCGTCCTCTCCGTGGTTCCCTGTTCTGGGCCTGGCTTCTTCATCTGCATCTCTGTCCTAAGTCTGCACTGATGCACTAACTCCATGAGGGACCCGTCCAGCTGCCATGATTGAAACAAGCGGCATCCTCCTTCCCCTGGCTCCAATGCTCGGGTTGTTGGAAGCCCAGTGTTCTGAAAGTGGGTGGATAGGTGGCTCGATGCGGCCAGCAGAAGCCTCTGAGGAATGGCGCTATCAGTAGGGAATCCCTTCTCAACCCTTCTCCCAGGAACTCTCCTAGAACTGTCATGGTGGAATGCCTTGGGGAGCACACTTCTCCCCGTGTTACTTCTTGTTCAGTATTCCTAATCAGAGGATTTGTTGAACAGTCTTATCTCATGGTTAGACATGTGCATGGAATATGCCTTATTGGAGGAGAAGACTTCAGGCTGTACTTTGTGTAGACACAAAGGGCTTGTATATTTCCAAAACTGTCAGAAGGGTGGCTCTAAAGGTGGGATTTGCCATTGAAAATTGACTGAAAGCCTGCTGGTGTCCTTCTCCTTTTCACCAAGAATACTATGGACTCCCAGAGGAGGAATTTATAGGTGGAAAGGCAGGCAGATGGGTGGAGATGCTGGTGTCTTTTCAAGGCCCTCTTTCTTGCAATCATTTCCCCCACTTTTCAAAGTGGGATCTGAAAAACGGATCTTGAGGACGCATGGACTTGTCACCCCCAGCAGTTTTGGTCACGTCTGGTTGTCATCCCAGCTGGCTTAGCATCATCCACCCGAGAGGTGTTAATGCAGGACACAGTTCTCTAGATAGTGTCAGACGAGGTCAGTCATCACTCTCCAAGCATTTATCTAGTGCTCACTTTGTGGCCACCCCTAAGGAGCACCAGGGATACAGAGAAAAAGGAAACAGTCCCTGCCCTGGCCCCAGCAGCTTCCGTGCTGATGGGGGAGAACACGCATGATGGAGGACCTCAGAGGAAATGGCTCTGGCTGGTGGAGGGATCAGGAAAGGCTCTCTGGAGGAGGTGGCACATGAGCTGAGTCTTCAGAGACTCCCCGAGGTGGAGGCTGGGAGGGGAGACCTTTGAGGCCCTGGAAATGGCCAGTGTGAAAAGGTGGGTGTGTGGGAGGAGCCAGAGAGGAAGGTGCCCCAGAAGCCCAGGGCCCTGGGTCCTACGAACCATCTAGAGCCACCCCCCTCGTCCTCTCCCTGGACTCTTGTCATTGGTAACCCAGGTATGACTTTCCGTTGGCTCCTGTTAAACTAGGCCCATTGTTCAATTGGGACTCTCTCCCCCAGAATATTTGCTGTTCTTTAGATTGACTTAGCAACAGCCTGTCTGTTTTTGAGCAAGCATTAAATTATTAACATGTAGTTCTTTTTCCAGAGCCTTTTCCATTAAGAAAATGGACAATGTATGTAAACAGTTTCAAAAACTTTCTTTAGTAAATGTCTTTGGTTGTCAATGTCCCTTTCAGGAGATAAACATGGGCCAACGCTGCTCGGACACCAGAGGGATTGTCTTTGAAGATGTGGTCGTGCCCAAAGAGAATGTCCTCATTGGGGAAGGCGCCGGCTTCAAAATTGCAATGGGTGCTTTTGACAGAACCAGACCTTCAGTAAGCGAACACGGGGCATGGTTTTGCTTTTACCTTTAGGAGAGTTGTGTTGTAACATTCCGTGGCTGTGGTGGCGCATTCAGTTGTGCTGTATTCTGTTGGCCTTGGCTTCGTTCTTAGGTTTTCCCTGAATAGGGCTGTGCTCTGCTGATTCCTGAACAGTGGCCATAGGTACAGAAATGGCCACAGTGAGGAGGCGAGTCTCCCAGGGGGCTGGCCTCACTGACAGGGTCATTCAGGGCCCCGCTGGGCTGTTTGCACCCTGAAGCTGTCCCCCGTTCTTTTTCATTAGGAAGGAGGAACTTTTTCTTGAGGCCTACTTTCTGAAATGAGTCGATAGCACGACTGGAGGGACTGGCTTTTGTCCTTCTTCACGGTTCCTCCTTGGACAGTGGAGAGGCCCAGGGACTAGCCTCCTGAAGGCAGGAGCCTCCATCTTCATAGGTGAAGGCAGAGGGCTGCCAAGGGCCAAGCGCCATCACACCATTCCCTTCCCATCCCATGGAGCCTGCACCACAAATGGCCTGTGGCCCTCCTGTGAAAGAACCTGGTGTGTCTCTAGTTTGGGGTCACCCAAGGAGCAGCCTTTTATTTTCTTTTTTAAATGGTATTTTCCCCCCAATTATATGTCAAGACAATTTTTAGCATTCATCGTTACAAGATTTTGAGTTCCAAATTTTCTCCCTCTTCCTAAAATGGTAGGCAATTTCATATAGTTCTCTATGTCAATTATATAAAATTATTTCCATATTAGTCACATTAGTTGTGAAAGAAGAAACAGATCAAAAGGAAAAAACCCACGAAAATTAAAGTAAGTGAAAAAACGATGCTTTGATTTGCATTCAGACTCCATAATTCTTTTTCTGGATGTGGAGAGCTTTTCCATCATGAGTCTTTTGTACTTGTCCTGGATCATTGTGTTGCTGAGAAAAGCTGAGTCATTCACAGTTGATCATCACACAATGTTGATGATAACGTGTACAATGTCTTCCTGGTTCTGCTCATTTCACTTTGTATCAGTTCATACGGGTCTTTCCAGGTGTTTCTGAAGTCTGCCTGCTCATCATTTCTTATAGCACAGTAGTGTTCCATCACATTCATATACCACAACTTGCTCCGCCATTCCCCAGTGGATGGACATCCCCTCAATTTCCAGTTCTTTGCCACCACAAAAAGAGCTGCTATGAATATTTTTGTACATGTGGGTCCTTTTCCCATTTGTATGATCTCTTTGGGATACAGCCCTAGAAGTGCTGTTGCTGGGTCAGAGGGTACTGAGCAGCTTTTTAAAATGACACCTTTCTTTGGTGTTCTCTCACAACCTCAGGTCGCCGCTAGTGCAGTCGGGCTTGCGCAGAGAGCTTTGGACGAAGCTACCAAGTATGCCTTGGAGAGGAAGACCTTCGGAAAGCCCCTTGTGGAGGTACTACCACAAAGTGCAAAAGGCCTTGGAAATCACGGTGTCCACTGCCTCGGAAGGGAAGAGAGGCTCAGGGATTTGTCCGGGGGTCCTAGAGATGGGGGCAGAGCTGGGACTCAGCTAATTGTGGCTCATCTAAGTAATGGAAGATTGGGGGTGGGGCTGGTAAGAAACAGCAGATGTCACAGAGTCAGAGAAGCAGGGCAAGCAAACCCCAGAAACAAGGTGCTCAGTGACCACAGCCCGTAACAAGAAGAACCCTCAGAAACAAAGGTGCAGCCAGAATGACCAGCCTTAGCCCCAAAGTTGAGGAAATGCCTCTCCCGCGAGAAGTCAGAACTGGGTGCTCTCAGTGAGGATCAATGTTCTTATGACTGTTAGGAGGGGAGGGGCAAGAGAGAGAGAAAAGCAAGACACACAAAAAATAAATTGCTTTAAAAAACCGAACGTAATATACAGTTTAAAGATTGTTAAAAATAGAAGTTCATGTATAATCTTTTTTTCTTGGTTGTGTATTTGAATGTTTAATTGCTAGTGGTAGTTAAATTTCTAGTGATTTTAAAATGTTTTATAATTTGACCAGAAATCAAATTCGTGCATAGTGGATTGTAGTTAGGAAACAGTGTTCATTAGCATTTCATCTCAAAATTATTTTTAGACGAATAATGTCTCTCGTGCTCTTTTCTTCTCACTAACCTTAGCACCAGGCCGTGTCCTTTTTGCTGGCTGAAATGGCTATGAAGGTGGAACTAGCCAGACTGGCTTACCAACGATCAGCGTGGGAAGTTGATTTGGGGCGCCGCAATACCTTCTATGCTTCCATCGCCAAGGCATTTGCTGGCGACATTGCCAACCAGCTGGCTAGTGACGCTGTGCAGATTTTTGGAGGCAATGGATTTAATACTGAATACCCAGTGGAAAAACTAATGAGAGATGCCAAAATTTACCAGGTAAGTTAATTAAACGTTGCTTTAGAGTCAAAATGTACCCAACTGACGAGTACATTTCATGTTGTTTAAGAATTAAATATCATATTTTAAATTAATTAAGCATTACTGCTTCCTGATTCTTGAGTCAGTAAACACGTGAAGAGCACTGACGCAATGTTGGCTAAGTTCACGTCTCCAGTGAAAGACCTCACGTTGCAACGCCAGTGACTCCCGAGCCCCTCGGGGGTTCGTCTTCCCTTTCATTTGTTACATGGTGGCCAATGGGGGCCCTGAAATTTCTTAAAAACACAAATTAAATTTGTTTGCCAAATTTGCCAACTTTGAGAAGACGGGGGATTTTCTAGGTTCTTGTCAAAGCAGCCTTGGCCTGAGAGGGTTCTTAGTATTTACAGAGGGCGCAGAGGAGCAGTTTTCCAAGTAAGAAATCAGCACCTGGGTCTCTGGACAAAAGGCTGACCTGGGTGACTTATTTGGAGCTTTGACGCATATGTAAGAGTAACGGAGGTGGAAAATGACTCCCGTTGGGCCAGCTCCTGAGGATGCAGAGGCACAAAGGCCAGTCCCTGGCTACGCATGAGTTACGCATTGGTAGGCAGAGAGAGAGCGTACACGGAGAAGCCCGGCAGGTTCCTGGGCCTCGTCCCTGGGGACGCTGCCAGTGTCACTTACCAAGTGCAGGCCCCAGGGGCATTGCCCGGGACCCGTTCTGGGCTTGACCTTCATTCCCCAGCAGTGACCCACGAGTCACCCTCCTAGCAAAGGAATTAGGAGCTCCTGATAAGTCCCCTGCATTTGTAAAGCAGAGGGCATTGGCCTTGTTCTCTCTTGGCTACAGTCCCTGCTAGCTCTGACCCCCTGGGAATTCTGCCAGCACCTCGCTGGTACAGGCAACCACAATGTAGATCATTATGTAAATGTCATCGATGATTATATATCACCGTCTGATATTCATGTGAATTTTTCACATCTTAGCCTTAAGTTGTGTGGTTCAGTCATTTCAATTGTGTCTGACTCTTCGTGACCCTGCTTAGGGTTTTCTGGGCAAAGGTCCTGGAGTGCTCTGCCATTTCCTTTACCAGCTCATTTTACAGATGAGGAAACTGAGGCCAACAGGGTGAAGTGACTTGCCCAGGGTCACAGAGCTGGGAAGAGTCTGAGGCCAGGTTTGAACTAAGGACAATAAGGCTTCCTGACTCCAGGCCCAGCTCTCTGTGCACTGTGGCACCCCCTAGCTGCCCTCAGGGCAATACAGGTGCTAGGTATTCTTTTCTTGAATGTTGTGTTGTGTGAAGGCTCTAGACTAGCATTTGGGGAGATACCACCTAATGCTAAAAAATAATGAAAATGGTCTCCCAGGGCCATAGATTGAGCACTGGAAGGAACCTCTGAGGGCATCTAGCCCAAACCCATCATTTATAGACAAGGAAACTGGGGTCTGGAAATAAGGATCCTGCCCAAGGTCTCACGACTCCAGGCCGTGTGCCATGGAGATGACCCTCTATCCTGTGGTCCCTCTGAAACCTGCCTTTACTGTCTTTGCTGTTGAAGAGAGAAGGCTGGACTGGCTTGGTTCCCTTCACTTGGCACCGTCCATGTACTTGAGCCTCCAGGAATAGCCTTGGCGCTCAGCCTCCTGGCAGTCGGTTGGCCATTTATCACCAGGTTAGGCTGGAGATCGGGGCTGCTGGTGAGGATGCCTCCCACCCCAGATGGCTCTGGAGGCCAGGTCTGCTATAGCAGAAACAACAGTGATCAAGGGGAAGGGAAGGCAGACAGTCACTGGGGAGATGGGGAGAAAGGAAAGGGTGGCAGAGGGGTTCCTAGAGTCCTAGAGTGAGGTATTAACTCCCTCCACTCAGCACACCCCCTCCCGTCCTTTGTTTGCCTGGTGACACTCCTTCAGGAATGTTCACTCTCAAGGAGCAGTTGGGAATAGAAGAGTGGAGTAAACAATTCCACAAAGAAACATGGGGGTTTCCCCCTTCTGCTTTCCCTCTGGAGGGCACCACCATCCTCCCAGTCCCTCAGGCTCCCAGCCTAGGAGAAAGCCTGCATTCCTCTCACTCGCCCTCCAAATCCAATATGGCGCCAAGACCTGTCCATTTCATCTCTACACCATCTCTCTAATATGTCCCCTTCTGTCCTCTGACCACCCTAGTGCACACCCTCCTCACCCACACCTGGACTATTGCAGTGGCTGCTGGGGGCGTCTGCCTGCCTCAGTCTCTCCTCACTCCAGTCCATCCTCCATTCGGCCAGCAAAGTGAGTTCCCTAAAGTGCAGGTCTGACCATGTGGCTCCCTATTGCCTCCAGGATCAAATGCAAAATGCTGCTTTTGGAGCTTAAAGCCCTTCTTAGCCTGCTGCCTCCTCCCTTTCCAGTCTTCTCACCCTTACTCCCCACCATGTACTCGTCAGTCCAGTGACGCTTCCTGGCAGTGCCACTCACGAGACCTCCCCGACTCTTGGCTCAGGGCATTCTCTCTGGCTATCCCCCAGGCCTGGGACGCTCTGACCACTGACCTCCCTGGCTTCATCTCAGCCCCAGCGAAAATTGCCCCCTCTACAGGAAGTCTCCCCAGCCCCTCCTCATTCCAGGGCCTTCCCTCTCCGGCTGCTTGGTCGGCTGTCTGCCCATTAGAAGGGGGTTTCTTTTGCCTTTCTTGGTACAGCCAGTTCAGTCACTTAATGAATGTTGACTGATTGAGTCTGGACTGGGGAAGGAAGCACCTCTCTTGGGCACTGAGGTGAAGGGTCTTGCCCAGTCACCGACAGTCATGAGGCAGGGGCCGGACTTGAACCCAGGTCTTCTTCACTTGGTTCCCTACAGTATGTTTCCTCTTCTCAGCCTCATGAAGAAGGTTTTGTGATTTCTTGTCTCCAGCAGATAGTATTGATGGATTTCAAGTTTTTCTTCCGTGAAAAGTCAGTTATTAACTGGGCAATTCTCATTATGTCCTGATGTCAAGAAAAGGAACATTTTTTACATCCAGATGCTTTGTTTGGGTTTTTGATAACCTCACTCTGTAAAGAGGAGAAAAATTAAAATTATTTTTGAGTTTTTAAGAAAACATTTCCTAGCACTCCTTAGGTGCTACTGGGAGATCTTTGATGGTCTTTCCAAATGAGAGGTCGGCATTATCACAGTGAGGAACCTCAGAGTTTGATTTTTTTTTTAAATTAATTTATTTTGAATTATCAACAATCACTTCCATAAGCTTTTGAGTTTTAAATTTTTCTCCCCCTCCCTCCCTAAGAGGGCACGCAATCTGATGCAGGCTATACATATACATTACTATTAAACATATTTTCACATTAGTGATGTTGTAAGGAAGAATTAGAACCAATAGGAGGAACCACCAGAAAGAGGAAACAAAACAAAAGGAGAAAAATAGCAAATAGTAAGCCTCGATCTGCATTCAGACTCCATAGTTGTTTCTTTGTATGTGGATGGCATTTTCCATCACGAGGCCTTTGGAGATGTCTTAGATCCTTGTACTGCTGGGAAGGGTTAAGTCTATCAAAGTTAGTCACTGCATAACATGGCTGTTACTGTGTCCAGTGTTCCCCTGGCTCTGCTCACTTCACTCAGCATCAGTCCATACAAGTCTTTCCAGGTTTTTCTGAAGTCAGCCTGCTCATCATTTCTTGTAGCACAATAGTATTCCATCACATTCATATACCACAACTTGTTCAGCCATTCCCCAATCGATGGACATCCTCTCAATTTCCAATTCTTGGCCACCACAAAAAGAGCTGCTATAGATATTCTTGTACATGTGGGTCCTTTTCCCATTTGTATGATCTCTCTGGGATACAGACCTAGAAGGGCTATTGCTGAGTCAAAGGGTCTGCACAGTTTGAGAGCCCTTTGGGCATAGTTCCAAATTGCTCTCCAGAGTGGTTGGATCATTTCACAGCTCCACCAACAATGCATTAGTGTTCCAATCAGGGTTTGATTTTAGTCTGGCTCGTTTTGTTTTCAAACTGCTCGTCAAGCATAGAGTACAGGCTTTCAATAGTCTTCTGCAGTGGACTTTATCTGTTGACCATATGATTGCTCATAAAATGGGAAAATGATATTTCATGAAACATTAAATAACTGTAGTCACTGATGTGCTTACAATGCCTTCAGATTTATGAAGGGACCGCTCAGATCCAGCGGCTGATCATAGCTCGTGAGCACGTCAGCAAGTACAAGAATTAATTGAGGAGCGGTCCACCGGCCTGCGGCCCTGGGCAAGCGCCTGCCCAGGAGATGATGGCAAAGGGAAGACACGTGAATGGATTTGCTGGTGAAATGAAGAAAATTAGAAATGTTGTTTCTTCCACCCTGTGTAAGAGATCACAGTGGTAGTTGTACACTCTGTTTAACATCATTAAAATACTTGTGTATTCTTTCAACAGCACTTGTACTTGAATCGTAAAGCATCAAGAAATAAAGTTAATCATGTGGAAATAGTCATTTTAGAAACTGCAATCCCAAAAACTTGTGGGGTTTCTAGCGGTTGTTTGCGTAAACTTTGAAACGAGGGAAGGGGATCTCACCACCATCAGGACTTCTCACCTTCTTTTGCCCATTCCTTAGGCAGCAAGGCTTACGCGGCTCCCTGAGAGGCCTAATTGTGACATTCAGAGGTACAGTCTTTTTACCCTGACGAGCTCTAAGATCGGCAAAGTGTGATTGCCCGATCCTAGTACGTACTTGGTCAGCGTCCGTTGGACACCTTCCAGACTCCCCAGGGAGCTGTTGTTTGTCTGTTAGGCAATGATGGAAATGGGGCCGCCCATCAGCCCTGGGCACGGGAATTCTGTGGAGGGCTAGTCTCTAGAGGCAGGAGGAAATCTGGCGCAGCGCCCAACCAATGCCTTTTTTTGGGGGAACGGGGTAAAGAAAGCTATATATGAGACTATGTTGGTGTCCTTGTGACTTCTGTGCAGTCTTTGTTTGCACATGCTTTTACAGGGAACAGTTGACGGTGTGTTAATACTCTAGGCATATTTGCTGACCTTAATTCATATGAGTTATGTGCTCACTGGGAGAGAAGTTGATTTGTGACTGCATTTGTTCTGATTTTAAATTTAATAAGCATATCTGCAAAAGATGCAACCCATTTTATTTATTAAACTGTCCTGATGGACCATTGTCTCTGAATATGTAAATACAGTGAAATAATGTAGGAACCAGAATTTATGAAATGTCATATTTATAATGCCTAAACATCAGATACTGGACAGTCTTGTAATAAATTACCAAAATAAAATTTTGCAGCCATTTTTCACGCAGGGTTTTCCTATTTAAATCAGTTTCTTTTAATTATAGATAACAGGCCATCTCTGCATTTTTAAATGCAAATTCAAGTTTGAAATAGCTGTTGTTTTTGATGTGTTTGTCAACGCTCAAAGGTTACAAATGTTGAACATCCGTGTGTGCAAGACTACAAACCAATTGAGAATGTCCACAGTGATCCCTGAAGAGCGCACAGTAGGGTTTGTAAAGGACGGTGCTGACTTTGTCATTGTCAAGATCCGTGAATTGAACCCTACGGTGTAGAGATGCACAGCAGGCTGTGCCTGCCCCGTAGCGGAAGGACTCAAGAAAGCAGGAGCCTTCTGGACATCCTAAGGGTCCTGGGTCCCAGAATGAGCAGAGCAGCTTCAGGAGGAGCTGAGAGGGCCTGTCCTCCCTGCCCCTTTCGCAGTGCTGACCACCCCCTTCTCCTGACATCACCCTCCCGCTGTGGGGCAGCATCACCCGACCCAGACGTTTGGTCCGTCCCAGGCTTCCTTCTCGCTTGCTGCTGTCCCTTGAATCTCATCCGTTCTGGGGATCCATCCCGGATCTGCCAGTTCCACCTGGTTGTCCCAAAGGCATCTCAGAACCAGCTCATAGAAGACAAGTCACGAGCTTCTCCCCAAACCCAGCCCTCTTCTCCATTTCTCTGCCATTGTGAAGGGCGCCATGATTCTTGTAGAGACCTCGGGGCTGAGAGCATGCGCTCCCTCACCCCCTGCTGCCCTCCAGTCAGTGGCCCCATGTGGTCCGCTCTCCCCTCCCTCTTCTCCATCCCCACGGGCCAGGCCCTTGACTCCTCTGGTAGGCCCAGGCAATCACCATCCAGTGGGCCGGGGTGCCCATGCCAAGCGTCTCTACTCCCGGCCCTGCTCCAGGCCGCAGGGACTCCACTAAAGTGGTGCAGAAGATGCTTCCGCCGTAGCTTTCCAGGCCCCTTGCAGGTCGCCATCATACCAAAGTGGCTTGCTGAGGGTTTTCCTTCCTGCGCCACTCCATCTGCTCCCTCCAGCACCCAGCATGTCTGCAGCGCTTCCTTCTCTCACCTCTCCTCTTGTGAGTCTGCTCTCTCCTTCACTTACCCAGGCATGGAACACCTGGTGACATAGGAGGCTTCCTGAAATCCCTGGCTGTTAGCCTCGCCTCCCCTGGGGACAAAATCTCAGCTATATCTGCCCCCCGCCCCACGGCCCCCATCTCAGCTCCTGCAGGGGCCTGCTTCGTTCTGTGTAACCCAGCACCGAGCACCGAGCCTCGCAAACACTACGCACTTAATAACTGAATATGTCAAACTGAAAGCCCCAGAGATGGACCCGAGGCAGGCACAGTCTTGTGGGAACGGCAGCATCAGGAATAATGAGAGACACCATTTCAAAATGGCAGATGGCTAGGGATGGCGAAAGTCACGTTTAACCACATACGCCGGGAGAAGGGCAGCTCCGTATGATGAGTAAAGATGTTGTTCGGTCGTGTCTGATGCTTCCTGACCCCAGTTGGGGTCTGGGCAGAGATGCTGGTGTGGTTTGCCATTTCCTTCTCTAGTTCTGGGCAAGTCGCTTAACTGTGTGTGCCTCAGATGAGGAAACTGAGGCAAACAGGGTTAAGCGACTTGCCCGTGGTCACACAGCTAGTAAGTGTCTGAGGTCACATTCGAACTCAGGTCTTCCTGGCTCCAGCTCTGGTGCTCTATCCACTGCACCACCTAGCTGCCCTTGCCTGGCAGATGGTAGGTCCTTCATACATGTTGACTGACTGACTGATTAAAGGTGCTGGAGAGGCAAAGCCCATTTCCCTCAAGGAAAGTACAGTCTACTGAGAGGGACAACAAGAAACCTTTGTGTGACATTCCCAGGAAGAAGATCCAGAAGCACTTCCTTTGGAAGGTGCCCTGGGTTTTACTCCCGCTTCAGGCACTTCCTAATTCTGTGACCCTGGGCAAGGCATCTAACCCTGCTCGGCCTCAGTTTCCTCCTGTGCAAGAGGAAGTGGCCAGACTGGATCTGAACTCGGAATCTATAAATGACAGTGACTGCCGCTATCGATGAAGCCCTTCACGACGATGCTCTTATTGGTTTCCCACAACATCCCTGGGAGGTGGGGGCTGTTATGATCTCCGTTCTACAGGGGAGGAAACTGAGGCAGGCGGAGACCCAGTGCCTTCCCCACATTCACACAGCTTGCCAGAGTCTGAGCTTGGATTTGAACTCAGGCCTTCCTGACTCCAGGCTCAGCGGTCTGTGCACGTTGGCGCCCCCTAGCGGCCACAAATAGAATCCTAAGGCCATGAACACGAGTCTCCTAGGTTAACCCAGTCACGCTAGGTTAGTCCAGTGCGCTGGAGGGGACAGTAGCGCTCGCGCATGCGTCCACGTTCGCGCATGCGCCCGCGCCGGCGCCCGCGGTCTTTCTGAGCAGGCAGCGGCGCGGACGCCTCCTAGAGCGGGGAGGTCCTTCGGGCAGGACGGCGCCACCTACGCCGGCGGCGAGATTGGGGCCTGCGTGCGTGCTGACGCCGGCGGCGAGATTGGGGCCTGCGTGCGTGCTGACGCAGGCGCCGAGTGACTTGGGGCGCCCGCCGCCGTCCTCGCCCTTTCCTTGCAGACTCCGGCATGGTGAGTGTGCGCTCCCGCGCCGTCCCTGGGCCGGGCCTCGGGGCGCTTCCCTCCGAGCCTCGCGTGCCCCGGGCCGCGCCGTGGGCGGGG